TGTGCTAAAAAGTCTCTGTTATCTTCTTTTTATAAAACAGGTACTTTTTCACACACTCAGGGAGATATGTGCAAAAAAATTGACATTTCTCACCTTGACATTGAAAAAGGAATGAATTGCAATTTATCTTTTACAGTCATTTCAGTGAGAAATGTTCAAAAAGCCCTACAAAGTGCTTATGTTATACAGAAACGAGGAGAAAAGAAAATTAAGACACTGACAAGCCACCCAAGAGTATATTTTCAACAAATAGAGTTCTCTGTGAATTACACTTCAAACAGAACGGTCTTGAACACAAGTGAGAAATAAGGTGAGAAGTGTTCAACGTATCTGTGTCACGTAACATGCTTTCCTCAAAGCACCTTACAGAACAATTTCACAGTAATCAAAGTTTCTTAAAAGGTAATAAAGTTGCCCTCAACGTTGAGTTAAGACTTTTCTAGTCATGGCAAATGCAATAAATAGTGTGGAATGCTGTAACAGAGCACTCTTAGGTCAATATTTTGTTTTGTGGCCTTTAGACTCCACTACAGCTTCAATTCTGTGTCTCATACTTGAAATTAGTTTATTGATATCCTCGATAGGAAAATTATTAAAGGCTCTTAAAACCTGTGCGGTGGACTGCTCGAATGACTCCTTTGTAATATTGTGTTACAGCTTCTTCATCTAAGTAACATTTGATTTGGTTGAATAAATTTTCTATCTAGTGGAAATCTGCATAGTGAGGAGGAAGTGTATGTAACTCCGCCTCAATTTCTGCTGGGGCATTCCTCGCATGCTTGCCTGTCTGGCTAGGGTTGTTGTCCATGACAAACAGACTTCTTGTGTTTCTTTTTGGCCCTGCCCAACAAAACGCTACATTGAAGTGGCCCTTACAAACTGAGTAAAGAAACAGCCGTTCATGTTTGCATGGGGTACTGTTAGTGTTACCCCTTTTCCGTAAGCAATGGCTATGAGGACATGCAAACATCTACCACCGGGTAGGTCCTTAGAACGTTTTTTGTCAACTTCAGGCCTTCTCCTTTCTGTCACCATATCCGTGGCTTATTTACGTTTGCACCAATCTGCAAGTTGTACTTGCAGGGTTGTCAAAAGTAGCCGGCTTCCGGCAAAAATCTCTGCATACTAAGTTAGTATCAGCCACCTACTCTGCTCGGCATTCCTTTACGGATGGCATTTTTTAAGTAAGATATCCCTGGACTGGCCGCTTACTTTGACAACCCAGCCACCTACTTCAAACCTTTCTGACAATGCTGATTTTGGACAAAAGACACGGCATCTAAAAAAAAGGCCAGTTCATTAGCCCAAAACTGGGGATTCTCCACAACCACACATTTCATTTTGCAAGCGAATCATACAAGCAACTTGCGGTCGTTTTCACTAAAAATGCCCTTTCTCCTCACCTGCAAATATGCATAACCATGTTCATTCAAAGAACAAGAAAATGTTCTTCTACTTGCCATTTCAAAACTAAGCCCACTCTGCTCAACTAACGTTCTAACTGCAGTGTTTCTGTTTCTTGCCCTTTATAGGGACCTGTCATTTATTAGAAGAGGGAGGGCTACTGAAAATGGGGGGAGGGTAATTAAATTTTATGGAGCCAAAAAAGGGGAGGGTCACCAAAAATTTAAGCTGGGCTTTGGGGAGGGCGATACCATTTTTTTGTAATCATTGCTGTTCACTTAAAATAAAAATAAATAAACTATTAAAATATATTATGAAACAAACACGTCCCTTGCACACCAAGTATTTAAAACTTTAATAATGATCAACCTGGAAAACCCAGCAACCCTACATGTATGTCAGCTGCTGCACAGAATACAGTCTTTATATATCAAACAAAACATTCCATATCTAAACGTTCTTTAATATTTTCTGTCAGAACCAGTTGAAGAGTATTCTAAATCATTTGATAAAGATGTTATTACAAGCCTTGATGAAGCTAAATATAGGGTAAACAGTGAATTGAAATATCTTAATGAGAAACTTGATCAATGTAAAGACAATTTTCGTGGTGTGTCACTGTTAAAAAACAAATCAAGAAAAAGATCACGGAAACAGACCAAAAGGGAACAGAGAAAGTAAAAATTTTAAACTGCTTTATCAGCTTTTGTCAGCAGACTTAAATTCAGATGTTATTGACAATGTGAATGTAGAATCTCTTGCACGCCTTTTTAGTTAGACAGGTCAGGTGGTAGACAAAAATGGCAAAGAATGGTCACTTGAGAGAAAAAGGCATTACAACAGCACAAGACTATCTAGAAGGTTGTATGGAAGAAAGTGAGGAAGAACTGGATTCAGGTGAAAGTCTCTGTGGGGAAGATTGTGAGAGCTTGACAGAGAATGAGGAGTGTGGTGACTAAACCTTAAATACCGTGATGCTCCATTGAGGAGTATAATGCGAGCTGGATTAATTTATACTGTTCCAACATTCAATATGTGTTGATTAGTTAGGGTACTGAGGTGAGCTTAAATGCGTCTATCGAATTCCGCTACCCAGTAAAATGAGACGAACAAACCTGGGAATGTCGAGTTCGGAAGCTGACAATGAGTCGCTGCAACTGAAGCATTTGTCTTTCACACCAGGAGTGGCGCATCCCGCAGCAACAACAGGCAACTGCGCTGAAAAAAGTCCTTTGGACTTCCAGCGAGGGAAATTGAAGAAAATGTGCAGATTTTGAAAGCACAAGTTGCTAACACCAAAGAAGAATTGGAGAAATTGAACTGTGAATCCAGGCACTTTCAGTCTCTAAGTGAAATTCGAGGCCGGCTATTTAACAACTGTCGTTGCTGTGGGCATACAAAAGTTAAGTGTTCAAAAGCTCCTTGCACGGACATTAAGGCATGTAAAATAAAGGAAAAGCACCCTGAGCACAAAGCTAAAATTAGCCAACTTCAGCGGAAGATAAGATCTCTTCAAAACAAGGCCCAAGAAGAGGAAGCCCACCTCAGAGGTTTTACAGCCGCACGTGAACGTGAATTACCACAGTGTGAGACTCTTACATCGCAAAACAATTATCTAATATTTTCTCACAAATAAGAGGCGTCTAGTGGGATAATCTACACAAGGTTTCTTATCTAGCTAAAAGAATAAAAGACATTGATTCCTTAATTCCTGCAACAAAATCAAGATTGCGCTCGATTTTTCCTGACCATTGCCCTACACCAGCAAGAGATACTTAAACTCGTTAACCCACGATTTCCAATTTTATACTGAATATACAAGTAATAAAGCCTGTTCTGGTCAAAATTATCATAATAAAATGGCAACACAACTCCTTTCTTGTCCAGTGTTGCACTTATTATAGAGTCGTTGTGTAGTTTTATCATCACTACACATTACTTTTTTTAGCATATTGCTAATTATTTTCAGCACCAGGAATTATTTATCACTACTACATTATTTTAGATAGTTCTACTAATAAATTCTTGATTCATGCCACAAACTCTTCTTCACTGGTACTGTCAAGAAATTCTACCACTGGTGTTGAGATTTATTTTTTCATTGGCTGAGATTTTTTAGTATTGCGAATGAGGGGGACTGGCTCTAATACACCATCTTGGTTGTTTTCATTCAGTATATCAGCAATAATTTTAAATCTTTTACGTTTAATTTTTACTGTTTCGAAATGAAGATTACCGAGACTGTCAAATATACCATTAGCGAAATCGATTGGATTCCTCAGTGTAACTGTTGTTGAGTTAAAGATTAAGTTTTGGTTAGACATTAGTCACGCGTAAGATCAAAAATGCCGTACCTCGTGCATTGTTGCTTGATATAGTTAATGCGAAAGATCTATCTGCGAAGTTAACTGCGTTCATTTGCGAATCTATTCAGGCGTACAGAGAGGACAATCGGTAAGCGTATTTTTCTCTCCCCTTACTGTTTTCGTTTCAATATTTGTTCGATTATTGTTAGGTTTTTTGTGCGCTCGTCTTTTCTTGTTTTGTTATGTAATGATTATTGCTTTAACTTAGCTTCGTTTCATGTCGCTTAGACAAGGTTTTCCTGTTTGTATTTTTAGTTTGACGTGTTTTACATCAGATTAAATCGCATTGGAATCACAGTTGTTCGTGTCTGGTGTTGAAATTCAGTACATCGCTGTCCTCGTGAGAACTTTGACTTGCGACATTCCTACGCTGTTAAACGCCTGCATTTACACTCAGTTCGTGTGGACTACTCCTTCCAGCGCATGTCCATCTGGATAAGAATCAGGCCCTTCTTCATCACATTCACAAGGAATTTATTACATAAACTACAACAAAGATTCCCAACAACTCAGCATAGTTCAACTTCCACTTCAAACAGCAGAAGCCGCTTACAAAGGGTTGGTCGTCAATCTAACGAGTCTGGGATTAAGGACATTGTCACTGTTGGGTTACAGTGTGAAAAAATGCCAACAACACGCCAATAGAAGATCAGTTTCCAACGTAGAACTGGCATTATTAGCGGGTTTGCACTTGAAAAGGTTGGAATGAAAAACTCTTTATAACAGAAGGAAAGCACAGTTCCCTGAAGATTGCAAAGGTGTTGAGTTAAAATTTGTGAAGGTCACCCGTCACTAATAAGGCTAAAGAGTATCGCCTTTACAGGTGCTGCATATGTGTGTATTGGTTGAGGATGACCTTGAAGATGACATTGGTATGCAAAAAGGTATGGACCAGTTCATGTCTGAGGCAAATAAAGAAACTCACGTAAAAATCACCACCATACAAAATGAAGTGCAACCTATGCTCCTTCAAGAGCCACATAAGAAGCCCCAAGAAGTAGATGACGAGGTCAACCAAGAAAGAATAGCTCAGCAGATATTTGCAAAATCGACCTTCATTTGGTGGATAATGTTGCTGAAGATGTTATCATTGATGCTTTGCTGACGAAGTTTGGAATGGCTCAGGTCTTCTGTGGCGGGCGTTATCGACAGGCTCAGTGTCCTTCGTTCTGATTCCCATTGCTAGGTTTTTAAGCCACTGTTCCCCAATCTCTGAGGTGACCGTTCTGTTTACATGCCTTGCCGGGGTTTCTGCAGAGAGGCTGCTGGTGCCACACAAAGATGACGCAAGTTCTTTGAAGTGGGAACGGGATGAATGTCAGAGTTACCCATTAGGATACTCATGATGTTAATCTTTCCCAGCTGTTGTGGTGTGCCAATAACAAGAAATTCAGTTTTGTCATCATTCAACAGAAGATAGTCATTCAGCATCCACAAACGAATATCCAATATGTAATTTTCCATGCTCTTTATGGCTGAAAACGGATCTGACTTCAGATCAGGACTAAACGAAATGTAAGCCTGTGTATCATTTCCATAACAATGAACTTCAGGCAGATAAGTTTTGACAATCTCAAAAACCACCAACAACAACAACCTTATTCTTTGTACAAAAATACAAAAGTTGGATAGTTTGCCCCACAAATATGGAACGCTAGTCATGGCGGGGCAAGACAAGTACATGAATAACACAATCAACTAATAAAAACAAAATTCTTAAACTATTGGAAAGCCTTGCACATTGCAACTAAAAATAAATAAAACAGAAGTTAAGTGATCTAATTCACACAGCTTACTGACGTACAATGCATTAGGACAAGGAGTCAATGACTCTCAACTGATAACATAAAAAGAAGAGCAGACAGACACTAAAACCTTTATCAAGTGTATCCATGCACCTACTTCTTTAATACTCATGGGGATTTGAATATAGTCATCCTCCTTTTCTAAGATATCAAATAGCAATTTGTGGAGAACTCTTTTAAAAGCTTTCTTTGGAAGATCCGTTATACAGCATGGTATTTTATTCCACAGCTTTACTTCGAGGTGAGAAAAAAAAATTGTTTTGTATTTCTTGTCTGCAACTTTTAACATAGAACTTACCAGACATAGACAATTGTGTATTGTATGAGTGAGTATTAGACGTTTTCTGAAATAAATTTAACCTCTTTGCAGGGGCTTTATCATTATTGATATCGTGCATTAAGATTGATATGGACTCGTAGTAAAGAAAAGTTATTGGAAGCTTGTTAGCTTCGAGAAATAAAAGAATGCACCTTTGAGTTTCTCGAGTCAGGCAATTTCTCACCGGTTTTAATATGAAATATGGAATAAGAAGAAAATGTTTTCTTTGCTGTGTCCATTTTTTTCTATTGCTGTATTAGTACATTTCTGAAAGGTCACGGTTATATCAACGATTTCAACACGTGATGGTTTAGTTGCGTAGTCAACCATGTTGATTACACAGAGGATAGGGACTGGTGCCAATTTTTGCCTCCATCACATTCGCTCTTCAGTTCCCCTCCATGTGGTTCAATGATGGAACCCAGCCATAAACGAACACAAGGTGGCAGTATTTTAGAATATTTTAATAAAAGATCAAGACCAGAAACAGAAACAGGTACTTAAACTAAATTATTACCATTGTTTTTCCATTCATAGTTTTTGTCCAGTAGCCAAACTCGCCACAAAAAATCAAAGTTAAGATTATTCACTGGACAGTGACTGGGTTGTTTTAACACGACAAAATTGCATTTCCAGGCGCTTCATAATTCAAATGTCTTCTGAAAAGATTTCCCTTTGATTTCTGTAGTTTAAATATCTATAACCACTCTCATAAATAGAGATTCTCCAATGAAATTTGACTGAGCCAAGGCTCGTATAAATTAACTTCATGCTGCCAGCTAGTTATGAAATGACTTGTCTTGCCGGCATGTTGTCGCTGCTAGTGCAGTGTTGCTGCACACGCAAATTTTACCTCGTGATGATTGCATTGCCAGGTATCCAAGGCTTTTTTTCATCAAACGGGGATGCCACAGATGTGCATTAACCTGTTTGGTGTGCTTAGTTACAAAGTCATTACCTTATAATTTTTAGTTTCATTACTTGTTAAATTACTTAAATTACATATTAAACCATCGAGGCAGTAACGACCATTTAGTCTGGGTGTAAAAGCCACAAAATGCACAAATTTTGAATTAAGATGTGTTACATTCACGTAAGTTTTATTATTGCCCCAGGAGGGTTCTAGCCCAGAGACTAGAACCAGGAGGCACCCCTAATTTCCCCCGCATAAACCGTTAGTATGCAAAAATTTTCTCGATTTGATGAAACTAGGCGCGCACAGTGGTCCTGGTTAATTTTTAGCATGTGCGCCTGGCTCAGCAACCGTGCAAAATGGGTTTGGCAATGAGTCGCATTTGCCGAATTGTGTCAGGATTTCAATCCAAGCTATAAGGTGAGTATTTTTATCATTAAGTATCTTGTAGCACATCAGTTTTCTGATTTCTTTTAATTAAAAAGCTATTCAGTAGTACTGGAATTGTTTGGTATTGAAGAACTTGATTTGTCAGACACAAATCAGCAATGTGGACCAACGGACTCGATTCAAACCACATCAGGAATAGCTCACATATTTCAAAACCCAGTCAAAAACAAGAAAGGTGGTAACGTGACATAACCGGGTTTTGTTTAGAAAGTGAACTGAGAAAGATCTCAAAGGTGAGAAACTAGAAACGGTGGTCCATGTGTTCGTAGGGTTAGTTTATTGCGAAATCCCGATTATTTTATTTTGATACAAGGATCAGAAAAAGTGAATCGGGAAATATCTTAAAGGTGAGAAACTTGAAACAGTGGTCCATGCTTTTGTAGGATTAGTTAATGGGGGCAAACTTGAAACAGTGGTCCATGTGTTTGCAGGGTTAGTTTATTGCAAAATCCCGATTACTAAGGTTAACTGGGAAATATCTCAAAGGGAGAAACTTGAAACAATGGTTCCTGTTTTTGTAGAGCTAGTTTATTGCGAAATTATATCAGTTGCATTCAAGAATGTCACACTGGAAGCCAAAGCAGACGTTCGTTACGTTTTGTAGACAAAACTTTCAGTAGGACAATTTATCTCACAAACCAACCTTCACCACTATCTCACAGTGATTTATTATACCACATTATACAACTGAATTTTTCACAATTACATCAAAAATTGTTATATCTCAAAATTACACATTAGTTAGAGGACATTTCTATTGTTAGTTACAAATAAATAATTAAAGACGGTTTTGTTGTTTAACATGCGTTCTATTACATTTGCATTATTGGTTGAACTCATTATGAGATGTATAAAAAAACAATTGTCCATCCTTAGCATGACATGTATGAGGATTTTCATTAACCCAGGAATAGTGTAATAATTGAGAAAACACAAAAGAAAAAAGAATTTCACTCAAAAAAAATAATACGAACACTGCATTTCAAAGGTTCATGGCAAATACATGGACAACCACATGGAGTCTTAATTCAGTTTTTAAAAGGTCGGGTCAGATTTAGTGACAACTATGACTAGTTACTAAACAGTGTGTACATTAAAGGACCTACAAGTGTACCTGTTTATGTCGTGGGTACTGCCTTCAATGAGAGTGAGCTAACAAGTACTTCACCTACTAAGTCATCAGTCACCAGTGCAAGTGAAAATAGCCAACTACTGGCAAAGAAAGTCCCCAATACGTCTGACACTCCACAAGACTGCGAAGAACTTATAGAGAAAGCCTTTAATGATGTTTCCATAGTCCATAGTAAATACACTTGCTCGCAAAAGAACTGCATAAATCTAAGCTCTCAGGAATTTAAGCTGATTAAATGCCTTGGTACCAGGAAGGATTGCTTTAATCATCAGTGGCTCCTAGATCCAGTTCTTCATTTATCCAATGCTGCAGTAGTTGAAATACCTTTTTTTCGGTAACAAGCAGTTTTTATTAGCTTTTAAAAGTCATGTAAACATGTGGAAATCAGTAATGGAATACGCTAGTGACCATAGACTGATAGTGAGACAACAATACAACAAGATTACCTTCCATTATATTTGTAAACATTGTTTTCCTATTTTATTTGACGTAATACTTCTGGACTTTAGCTATGCATCTGTAAATGCTTCACACCGCTGTATACTATATGTAATGAAAAATTCCCAAGATTCAGTATCTTTTTATTAAAATTGAACTTCATCTGAAAACTAAATACAGTTGTCACTGATGCTGTTGATACTTCATCAATATTTAGTGCTGAATCTGATGCCAGAATGTAGGAAATGGCATTTCCGGGCTTCTAGATTGCAACGTGCCAGCTGAGTTGGGCTATCACCACGTTCTCATCAGAAGCTAAAAAGAGAGGGCGAAATGATCTGTGAGCAAAAGGGAAATATATTGTCAACCAATTTTGAGCCTAAAACCAAGAAAGAAAGATGCACGAAGAATGGAGATGTTGCTCATGTCAAGAAACCAGCCTGGCTTGACATGTACAATGACAGCATGGGAGGAGTCAATAGCTCTGACAAGCTTCATCTTTCTACACCGCTTGTCAACCCTCCAAAAAGTGGTACAAGTATTTCTTTTGGTTCATTTTTTAGCTTTCTATTGTTGATTCGTTTGTACTTTTCCTAGAAAATGTCACCAAGAGGAGAAGGCAGGAAACGACTCTATTAAATTTTTGCTTTAGACTCGCCTCTGTGGAGGCTAACACTACCGTAAAAACTGGTACTGGCGTGTCCACAAACATTATTTGCCTTAAAGCGAAATCAGTCGCGCAAAAGCTGGGATTGTCCGAACAATTTAAGGCCTCCAAATGCTGGTGCTACTGCTTCATGGATCGATTTGGCTTCTCCATCAGAAGGCGAACGACAATTGCTCAAAAACTTCCACAAGACTACGAGGAAAAGTTAATCAAGTTTCAGCGTTACGTGTTGGCTAAACGGAAGGAACATCACTTTGACCTTAAATACATTGGTAATGCCGATCAGACCCCGCTTACATTTGACATTGTAACGAACAGTACAGTATCAGACAGAGGAGTCAAGAGCGTCCCTATCGTGAGCACAGGTCATGACAAGGACAGGTTTACCGTGATGCTTGCCTGCCTCGGCAATGGTACCAAACTGCCACCGTATGTTGTGTTTAAACGGACAACACTTCCAAAGAACTTGAACTTTCCGAAAGAAGTTGTTGTCAGGTGCCAGGCAAAGGGCTGGATGGACGAACAGCTCGTGCAGGACTGGTTACGGACCATTTGGAGCAAAGTTGGTGGCCTCAGCCGGCGAAAGTCGATGCTTGTCTGGGATTCGTTCAGAGCCCACTTATCCAAACCAGTTCGCAGTACCTTGAGGTCCATCAATAGAGAGTGCGTTGTGATTCCTGGTGGCATGACCAGCATGCTTCAGCCTTTGGATGTGTCCATTAACAAGCCCTTCAAGGGCCGCATGCGGGCAAAGTGGCAAGACTGGATGTTGGCTGGACAGCACAGCTTTACTGCCGGGGGTCGCATTCGCAAGGTCGCGCTTGACGAGATCTGAAGATGGATCAGTG